TTGCTGAAATCTGCTTGTCTCACTGGCTAGTGGAGGCTTCCGACTGGACCATAATCAGTCTTCCCGACAGTGGCCTCTCCGTGGCGTCTGGCTCTGGCTCTTGGCATCATTCTAGGACAGCAGGGCTACAGGGGTGGAGGGGCCTCTCCTTTCAGACAGGAGGGTTCTGCGATGCCCCCTCAGCTCTGCAGGCCCCTAGGCCAGCCTGAGAATTCCTCCTCCCTGGAAGGTAGGCATCAGCCACTCTGCATTTGTGATGGTAAGGCTCCAGTAGACTCAGGACTGCCTGCCTGTCATTCAGGGAAAAGGAGCCAGTGACAACAGGCAGGGCAGATTTTGGTGTGTGCGAGAGTCCCCAGAGCTGAGGAAGCCCATGAGATGTGGGGTGGTGCCTCCGTGCGTGTGGCCACATTGGGGAGCCACAGATGTAGAGGAGACATCTCTGACCTCTGACGGGATAGGAAAGCAGGGGATGATGCTGAGAAGTGGCCACTCTCACAGTCGGCCACAAGGTTCTCCAGTCCAGACGGAGCAGCAGGGAGGCCTGGGAGCTGTCCTCACCCATGTTCTATACTCTGCAGGTCCTGTCTCTGGACACCAACATCACAAACCAGGTGAACAAGCTGAACCGGGACCTTCTGCGCTTGGTGGATGTGGGCGAGTTTTCAGAAGAAGCCCAATTCCGAGACCCCTGCCACTCCTATGTGCTCCCAGAGGTCATCTGCCACAGCTGTAACTTCTGCCGTGATCTGGACCTGTGCAAAGAGCCCTCCTTCTCTCAGGTGGGCAGCACCCATGCATGAGGGACCCATCTCCACCTTTTGTGGGTTACATCTACTGGGCCCCTGCTAGCTATGACATGAATTAGAACAGGCACCTTTCTTAAGGCACTCAACTACCACACGCTAAAACACTGTCCCGATAAACACACGAGGACAGTGATGTGAGTGTGCCCTGCAGCGGAGTGAGCTGCTGCTCAGTGATGTGCCTCTCGAGAGAGCGTCCTCTCTCGAGTGTCGTCTCAACGCTGGTCTCCAAAGCCCAGTGCAGGGACGCTACCAAGGGAGGCTACGCAGAGGGTGACCTGCTCCCTCCCTGTCCTCTGCCCAGGATGGGGCCATGCTGCCCCAGTGGCTCTGCTCCAACTGTCAGGTCGCCTACGACTCGTCAGTGATCGAGATGGCCTTGGTGGAGGCCCTGCAGAAGAAACTGATGGCCTTCACCCTGCAGGACCTGGTGAGCAGCTGGGGCCTGGTGCTGGTGCTTTCCTCCACCCAACCCACCTCCGAAAGGGGCTTCTCAATAAGCAGTTCGTACTCAAGGGAAGCGATAGCTGTTGGCGTGTCAGGTCTCGGGTCATAGCATCATCCTCCCAGATGACCACCTCTATGGTCAGGCCTCATCCACAGCCCAAGTGATTCAGTCTCATAGCATTTATGGGGCATCTATGATGGCCAGGTGCTGGACCCATCATTGTAGTGAAAGGGGATAGCAAGCAAGGTCAAGTGTGTGAGTGGGATGAGTGTCGAGAACCGATGGTGTGTGTGTGAGGGAGAGACAGAGGGGATGTTCAGCACTGGACACGGGATCTCTCAGCAAAGACCCGAGGGAGGTGTTGGGTCTGGGCAGAGACCAGTACGCCTGGTGTGACCTGGAGCAGGTGGGTGCCCACAGCAAGGGTGCAGGGAAGCAGCTGGGCACTTGGGTGAAGGCCACTTTGAAGTCTCGACTTTACCCACAGGTGAAGTGCAGGCTGTGAGGGACAGGGTCTTCCGACCAGGGCTTTTTCTCGTTTCAGATCTGCCTGAAGTGCCGGGGCGTGAAGGAGACCAACATGGCCATGTACTGCAGCTGTGCCGGCGACTTCGCCCTCACCATCCACACCAAGGTAGGGCTGCTGCCTCCTTAGCTGTTGCCCTGTCTGGCCCGTGCCCACAACCACTTTCTCCCCACACTCCTGGGCCATGGTCTGCATCCTGCACCTCCTTTGGGACTGGATCTCATGGCAACTGGTCTTTCCGCAGGTCTTCGTGGAGCAGATCAGAATCTTCCAGAACATTGCCCAGCACTATGGCATGTCATACCTCATGGAGACCCTGGAGTGGCTGCTGCAGAAGAATCCCCAGCTGAGCCATTAGCACGCCAGACACTGTCCCTCTGTCTATCCCCGCTTTCCAACTCACAACCATGTCCAGGACACAGCGCTACAGAAAATGACCATCAGGGAGATTTGGGGGAGCAGATCACAGCAGCCAGAGCAGGAGTGTCCCACGTTTTGGTTCCTGGTCCCAGCCTTGGTCGGGGCAGCCATGGATCCGAGAACATCTCCGGCAAGGGGCCCTGATGGGTCATTCTCTCTGCGTAAACGTGTGTGGACTCTGCCGCACAACCCTGCCCCTCCTGCCCCACATCTGCACCCAACTGCCCTGAGGGTCATCTGTTTGAACTGAGACCTGAGAGTGACTGAAGGCCAGACCCAGGACAAGGTGACGCCTGAGTGGGAATCTGCAGCCCCTGGTCCCCAGGCACTTGTTACCTTGGGGAAGCTCGTCCCACAGCATCTGTGGGCGAGGGCCCATCCAGGAAACAAGACCTGGTAGGTTCCCAGGACTTGAGCTTCTCTGTGGAAACTTCCTGGCCAAAGAAGGGGCTGTAGGGTGCTGCGTTGGGTGCAGCCACCTCGTCTGGGCCAGGACTTCTCAGAGGGGCTTGGCCACAGCCACCTTCCCTCAGAACCCGTGTGGGCCCAGAGGAGCCCCCCCGCCCGGGAGGGGTGAGGAGCACCATTGACTGTGGGCTTCATAGCATATGTTACCATCTGGATTTTAGAAAAATACTGTTTCACCTACATTTTAGGTTCTTTTCAGGGGAGGAAGGAAAGAGCAGCAATTTTGTTGGTTGAAGGCAAGTCCTATACTTGCTTTAGCCTCTGGGATCGTTCCAGGACCTCTAACCCCACAGGGCACCCAGCTTGGGGTTGCCTGCCCGAGGGGACCTCAGCACTTTAGTTTATTCAGAGCCCTGTCCTGCACAGCTGGAGCGGGCGGGATGGGGAGCACCCGAGTCCCTTGCTGAGCGCCAGCTTCTCCCTCTATCCTGTCTTCAGCCCCAGGACAAAAGCCCTGGGCACCTCATTGTTAACGAAATGCACTGGAAACAGGGAGAGTTGGTGAGACAGCAAACTCAAACCCCAAGTGGTGGGCTCAATAGAAAGCCCAGGTGGGCCTTGGGGCCTCAGCCTGGTTTAAATTTGTCCCTGTAGCTCATTTCTGTGTCATTCAGCTCCACTTTGAATTATCTGAATTTCATGTTTCTGAAAATATATGCTGTATGTGCACAGCCCCTCAGTCTCTAGAAGGGAGGCTGAGCAGCTAACGGCTATCTGGCTGGGTTGGCCCCTGGGTGCCGCTTGCAGTACTGGCCAGGCCCAGTGGCCGAGAGAAACCTGATGCTGGCTGGAAGGTGGACGGAGCCCAAGTCAGCCCCAGATGGAGATCAGATCAAATTAGGGCCGGGGGTGGGGGGGGCTAACTAGGCTTCCTGGTAGTGATGCCAGAGGCCTGCTCAGGGGTGGAGGTGGGGGCCGGCCTGCAGCCTCGCCCTGGATGCTTCACTCCTTGTCCCTGCTGCAAGATGGGGCCCTGGGTACCCTGGACTCTGGTTCCCAGCAGCTCCCTGGAGGCCAGCTTGAGTGGGGGCATCTGGGGTACAAAGCTCTGGTCACTCATGGGAAACCTGAGCCCCTGGCCCTGGTTCTTGAGCTTGCAGCCCAACCCCAACTGGAAAAGCCAGTTTCTCTGAAACTAGAGCTGGATATCTGTGAGCCAGACACTCAGGATGCCACGGGCATTTGGGTGACCTGTACAGCCGATGTCCCAAGGATGGGAGGTTCTGTAGGGGTGGCTGGGTGAGGGCTTGGGGAGTGTTTGCTGGCTGCAGCAAGTGGGGCAAGCCCAGCTGTCAGGTGTGGGTGGGTAGGAGGGTCATCAGACTTGGGGATTCCCGGGCTGGTATGATCTGAACCCTCCCCTTGAGCCTGGGAGTGATGGATCATGGGTAAGATCTGTGCAAGACCTTTGGCTCATGCCTCATCGTGCCTACACATGTCTCCTCATGCCTGCATGCTCGCTGTGACTTGCTAGAGGAGCTGCTGTCCACAGATTGAGGTCTGGCCAGGCAGGGCAGCTGAACAGAACGACAGTTGTGGCATCTGAGGATGCGGTAACCAGATTACCCACATGTCTGACCAGGCTGGCGCCAGCACTCTGCACTGGAAACCCCTTTCCTGTCTGACCGAATTCCCATCCAGCCCAGCAGTGCTCAAAACCCGGAAGGGCACTTGGGTTTAAAACAGGACATGAGCTTTCATTTCCCCGGGTACGACTCCACCTCCCTCCTGGCTTCTGTCTTGGTTGCCATCCTTTTCCCTTATTTTAAGGGTTCGGACCTGGGGCGACCCCTGCAGGAAGCTAGTGAGCATACTAACGATGCGGAGAGGAGTCAGGGGGTCCATGCACTCAGCCTGTCTCCCACCCCCGCTGGCCCACTAGTCAGATGTGACAGGGACCTGGCTGGACACGGAGGGCAGCAGTGTGCCTGCACGCTACACCAGCCTGGTTGCAGCCCCTGCAGCCCCTGCACAGGGAGCCGCTGTTGCATTTGTCTTCAGGGTCTCAGTGTGCTCTTCCCAAAACAGGAGGTCTGACGGTTCTGGCCACAGGTTTATTGGATTCTGGACACATGATTTGCTGAGCAGGCAAGCAAGGGATCTGGGCTGTGTGGATGGGGAAGGGTGAGGAGCCTGTGTGGAGGTCAGGAGGTGGGGGGCAGCTGGGGTCAGGGTGCTGCCCCCTGTCAGCCCACAGCTCAACTGCATGGAGATCCTTTGGCTCCCAGTCGTGTGGAGGCATGTTGTATGGGGGCAGGGCCTGGGTTCTTCACGTAGGTCCCAGCCATGCTTCAGGGCCAGACCCAGCCTTAGTGGGGGGAGGTGGGGGTGGGCTCAGAGCTGGGCTAAACCTCGGGGGTCTGTGAGCGCAGAGTCCTGCTGGGAAGGCTCAGAGGCCCAAGGCCCCGGTCCTGCACCCCGATCGGGAATGTCCACCATCTGCTCAGACAGGGCAGACGTGGGACAAGGCCGTGGCGGCAGGATGACCTGGGCCTGACTCTGCCCCTCTTCCTGTGGTCTGCTTGGGTCTGTGGAGTAGGGACAAGGGGGCGGAGGGGCCTGGCCCAAAACAAGGGCCAGTGTCACAGGCCAGCTACCTGGGGAGTCTTTTGGTGTACACACCTTGTCGAATTTCTTATGGCTGTAGACTTTGTTTTTGTTCATGAATGTTAGCAAGATCCAGTCACACAGGAAGGAGCCCTGGGGCCAGCAAGACAGGTGTGTGAGGGCTGGGCAGGACCCCCACCCACCGCATGTGTTCAGACCCCAGTGTGTGTTCCTTACCACCCCGATGGAGGTCAGCGCTGTGGCCAGATTAATGATGGTGGGAATCAGGCTGAACTTGCCTGCCTGGGGAGGAGAGGCTGCCTTAGATCAGGGATGGGCTCACGTGGGGCACATGGAGCTGGACCAGCTGAGCGCCAGGCCGGCCGGTTTACCTGGCCATGCACAATGACATCAATGCGGATCCCGTAGGCCTTGATGAGCGTGCGGGTGGTGCTGCCGTTAATCTTGTAATACTTGGCAAACCTGGGGTGGAATGACCGGGAAGCATGTCAGAACCTGGGACTGAATGACTGGCTACCTTGACCCTGAGGAAGTGGCAGTGGGTGCCTGCCTGTCACCAGAGGAGCAGCTCCAAATCTCCACTGACCACTGGTGTCCCTGCCGTTGAACACCTGCCACAGCCAGGGTGGATGAAGACCCAGGTTCCAAGGCCAAAGTACCTGAAGTTGTAGCCAGAGGAGGCCGGGGTGTGCTTAGGGTCGAGTCTCCGGAAGGAGTACTTGGGGTTGCAGTTCGATGCCGGCAGGTCCAGGTCACAGTCCCAGTTGATAATGACCCCAATGACACCACCCTGCCCAGAAGTGGCCACAGAGATGGGGGTCAGGGCTGGCACACAGTTACCAAGAGCCCTGGGGTCCCATCCTGAGGCTGTGTGGGGTGCACATCATGGGGAGCTCAGGGCAGCTCAGGGCCTAGAGCTTGGTGAGCACCCCACATTTGAGGCATGAGGAGACAGTAGGGGTGTCTGTGGCCATGAGTCAGTAATCCAGCAGGAACTGTGCATAGCCAGGGGGGCACCTGATCGCCTCTCTCCTCTGCGTGAAAGGCCCTGCTGGCCACAGCTGCAAAGGGACTGGACAGGCAGAACCCCTCACCGTGTGCGCCAGCTCCATGAAGTTCTCCCCTGCCCGCTCCACGATGAAGCCCAGCCTGAAAATGGGGCAGTACAGGTGCGACACTTCATCGAACATGCAGTGCTTCAGATAGCTGTCCTTCCGGTTCTCGATGTTTCCCCTGAGCACGTCAGCACATCAGGTGGGAGGGGCATTCTTGGGAAGCAGCGCCCACCCCAGCCAGTCCCAGGTCCCCACCCTAAGACTCTTACTTGGAGAACTGGAATTTGGGGTAGTGGATGCTGTTCTTGATGAGGATGGTGAAATTTGGGGCCATCTTACCAAGAAATTGGCTGAGGAGGCAAGACTGGGTGTGTTTAGTTCCCCCCCAACCCACTGAGCCTCCCTTGCCACACTGTCCCCCACCCCCACTGAGGAGGAAGGAGCAGTCGCTGGGGTGGACTTGGGTCCCAGGTGGTAGGGGGTGCACCTGACAGAGGCCCCATCTTCCACAGGGCACCAGCCAGACACCTCGCAGGTCTTGGAAGCCCCGTGGTAGTAGGGTACGCAGCGCCCAGTCCGCACACCTGCAGGCACACGTGCTCAGGTAGAGGAGGGACGCCCCGGCCCGGGGCCCCCACCCCACCGCCCCCCGCAGGCACACACGGACCATTTCCCAGCATGTCCAGCTCTCCCGCCACGCAGTCCTCGTCGGAGTTGCAGGAGGCGTTGGAGACCCTCACACTCTAGGGAGAAGACGGCCAGGTCACAGGCCGCACAGCCTCCCTCCCCAAGCACAGCTGGGCCCTCCCCTGCCCCGCCCTTGACCTCGTCTCACCTCGGGGCAGGTTCCCTGAGTCTGGGAGGGGGTGACCTCGATCCTGGTGATGATGCTGAACACGCTGCCTCCCTGGGCTCAGAAGGAGGGGACAGTTGGCGGGCGGGGTGGGGTGGGCAGCTCAGCCACCATCGGTCCCACCCTTTGGCGCGCGGGGAGCGGAGCTCACCTCCGGGGGCTTCACGTACTCCTCCACGTCCCACACTTTGTGCTCCGACGAGGTGATGCCCTTGACTTTGGTGATGACAGAGCTCTCAGGGCCGGTCTCCCGGTCCTGGTAACTCTTCTGCACGATGAATACGTACCTGTGGGAACCCAGGGCCAGCTCTAGAGCGACCTCGGACGCCGTGTTCTCACCCTATCCCCGCCCCGGGGACCCCGCGTCCTCTCTGCCCCCCGCCGGGGGACCCCCAGCCTCCGCGCGCACCCACCACACGAAGTAGAGCAGGATGAGCAGCTGCACCAGGCGGTACACCACGCCCAGGCGCCGGTTCTTCACCACGATCACCTTGGGCGTCTCGTAGTCCCAGAACGCGGACCAGCAGCCCCGGGCCAGGCGCCGGGCCGCGGCCACACCCGCCGGGGGCTTGGGCTCTGCGGCCGCCATGGCCCCGCCGCCCGGGAAGCCGCGGCCCGGAGCTCGGACGGTCGGGAGAGTGGGACGCCGCGCGCTCCCTGGGGCGGGGCGGGGCCGGGGCTGCCTCCCGGGGCGTGGCCTCGCCTGTCCCGTCCCACCCCAGGTCCGGGTCCCCGCGGGCTGGGGGAGCCTGGAGCGGACTCGCAGCGCACCTGGCAGGTGTCACCACTGGGGGCCTCGAGCGGGAATCGGCGGAGCGGGCGGAGCGGGCGTCGTGGGGAGGGCGTTCGCTGGGAAGACCCTGGGCGTCCGGGCGGGGGCGCTTTCTCAGGACAGGGCGCAAGACGTGGCACAGCGCCCGCCTCCTCCACGTCTCCACCGACTTCTGCTGCGCTGCGCGCACCGAGCCCGAAGGGCAACCCTTTTTAAAAAACGCACAATGTTACAGGTGATTGTACTCCAATAAAGCTGTGAATATAAGTACGTAAACCTGAGATACCATGATGCCATTTCCCAAAGGGCAGCCCGAGATCCCTGCCCCGGGCCCAGGCGGGCCCAGACCCCTGTCCCTGCAGCGTCGGAGCCTTTTCGTCCCAGCTGCTCCCCCACCCCGCGCCCCGCACCCCTCACCTGCCCTGCAGTGCTGCCAACTCCACTCTCTTAGACTCTTCCAATCCCTTTTATTTGCGAACCAAAGGTTTTTTGTTTTTAACTTTCCATATTTCTACCCCACCTCATTATTTTGGAGCAAGTCCCAGACATCATAGTATTTCACAAAATGACACATTTTCTTGCACTTTTTTTGAGCTGACATTTATTAACCATCTAATTAACCATTTTGAGGAACCGCTTTTAGTGAACAATTCTAAGGAATTTCGTGCGTTCTCAATGTGGCGCAGCCACCATTATCCACGTCCAAACATTGTGGTCATCCTCGATAAAAACCCGTGTCCATGGAACAGCCCACTGCATTGCCCCTCCGCGGGACAGCCGCGACCACCAATCTGCCACTCCGTGGGCCTGTCCGTTTGGGGTCCTCCACGCGCTGGAATCATGCAGGAAGGGTTTGCCATTCTGTGTCTGGCTTTTTTCACTCACCCTCATGTTTTCAAGGTCTGACCGGGGTTGGGGCAGGGTTCCGCACCTCATTCATTTCTGCAGTGGAACAATACTCCATTGTGCCGACACCCCCGCGGTTTATCTGTTGATCCACCGAGAGGTATTTGGGTGGTTTCCACCTTTTGGCTGTTGTGATGAAAGCTACTGTGAATACCCGTGTACACGCATCTGAGCACCGAGCTTCCATTTTTGGAGTATACACCTAGGAGTGGAACTTCTGGGTTGTGCGGTGCAACTTTGAGGAAATGCCAAACTGGTTTTCAGGCAGCAAAGCCATTTTTCATTCCAATCAGCAGAAGTACAAGTGCTCCCTTTTCTAAACATCCTGGCCAACTCTTATTTCCCCTAATTTGGTTATTGCCATCTAGTGGGTAAAATGGTATAATTTCTTTGGATAAATGTTTATTCATGATGGCCTTTTGCCCACTTTTAAACTGGCCTGTTTGCCATTTTGTTTTCCACTTGTAAGAATTCTCTGTGCATTCTGGGTACTAGACCCTTATCAGACGCGCGATTTGCGGATATTTTCTCCCACAGTAAGACATCTTTTCACTTTAAAAAACAAGACTTTATTTATTCATTTTTAGACAGAAGGGAAGGAAGGGAGAAAGAGAGAGGGAGAGAAACATCAGTGTGTGGCTGCCTCTCAAGTGCCCGCCACTGGGGACCCACCCGCAACCCATGCACCTGCCCCGAGAATCAAACCCACGACCCTCTGGTCCGCAGGCCGGCGCTCAGTCCACTGAGCCACACCAGCTAAAGCTTTTCACTTTCTTGACAGTGTTCTTTACTACACAAAAGTTTTTAACTTTGGTGAAGTTCAATTTAGCTGTTTTTGGTTTTTTGTTGCTTGGCCTTTTGGTGTCATTTCTAAATCCAAGGTTATGAAGAGTTATGCCTGTTTCCTTCCAAGAGTTGTATCATTTTAGCTGCTTATAATCAGGTTGTTGAACCATTTTGCGTGAATTTCTGTACATGATTTGAAGTCACTCCACTGGCCTGTGCATAGATACCCGGTGGTCCCAGCACCACTTGTTGGAGAGGCTACCTTTCACCCACTGAAGGGTCGGGCTCCCTCGTTGGAGGTCAGCTGGCCACAGACGTGGAGTTCCCTTCCGGACTCTGCTCTGTTCCATTGGCTTGGATGCACGTTTTTATGCCAGCGCCACACTGCTTTGCTCACTGTAGCTCTGTAGGGAGTGTTGAAACCTGGATGTGTGAGTCCTCCAACTTCGTTCTTTTTCCTTGTTTCTTTTATTTTAAATTATGTTTTGTTGGTTATGCTGTTACAGTTGTCCTGATTTTTCCCTCTTTGCCCCCCTCCATCCAGCACCCCCCACTCCGTCAGAAAATCCCCCCACCATTGCTCACTTCCATGGGTCACGCGTATAAGTTCTTCAACTTCTCCAGTTCTTTTTTTTTAAGATTTTATTTATTTATTTTTAGAGAGAAGGGAAGGGAGGGAGAAAGAGAGGGAGAGAAACATCAGTGTGTGGTTGCCTCTTGTACACGCTCCCTACCAGGGACCTGGCCTGCAACCCAGGCACACGCCCTGACTGGGAATCGAACCAGTGACCCCTTGGTTCACAGGTCAGCACTCAATCCACTGAGCTACACCAGCCAGGGCGCTTGTCCAGTTCTTATGCTTCACTTTACATCCCCCGTCCTCATGACAAGTCTGTAACTACCTATTTGTATTTCTTCATCCCCTCACCTCTTCACCCATCCCCCGCACCCCCTCCCACCCAGCAACCATCAAAACACTCTCCGTATCCACGATTCCATCTCTTCAAGTTTTTTTTATTCAATTGTTGATAGATTTGTATTTATTGTTATTTTATTGTTCATACTTTTGATCTTCTTTTCTTAAATAAGTCCTTTTAACATTTCATATAATAATGGTTTGGTAATGATGAACTCCTTTAGTTTTTTCTTGTCTGGGAAGCTCTTTATCTGCCCTTCAATTCTAAATGACAGCTTTGCTGGGTAGAGTAATCTTGGTTGTAGGTCCCTGCTTTTCATGACTTTGAGTATCACTCACCAATCCTTTCTAGCCTGCAAAGTTTCCTTTGAGAAATCAGATGATAGTCTTATGGGAACTCCCCTGTAGGTAAGTAAGTAACTTCTTTTCCTTTGCTGCTTTTAAAGTTCTCTCAAGCCCTGGCTAGTATGGCTCAGTGGATTGAGCGCCAGCCTGCGAACCAGAGGGTTGCTGGTTCGGTTCCTGGTCAGGGCACCTACCTGGGTTATGGGCTGGGTCCCCAGTGGGGGTGTGTGAGGAGCAACCACATATTGATGTTTCTCTCCCTGTCTTTCTTTTTCTTTTTCTTCCCTTTTTTTTTCTTTTTTACTTTTGGACACCAGAACATTTATTGTGGGACGAATCAGTGAAATCCTTAAGATGAACTGGACGCTGCAACAGCTGCCCCCTTGGGTTTAGGTGTTGCTCCTTCATGGAGTTCATGCCTGAATCCGCGGTACATGATCTTTAGGTGCCTCGTGCGACCGGTCCAGGTGGTGTTTCGTCGCTTGGCCTTGGCACTCCAGTTATACTTTCTCTTCCACTTGGCGGGGTAGCCGCACTTGCCGCAGGTGGACTTCTGCAGGTGGCAGGCCTTCCAGCCGCAGTGGCGGCACAGCGTGTGCGTCTTGTTGTGGCGCTTGCCAAAGGATGACGTCATCTCGCTTCTGCCGCCAAGACCAAAGAGTTCTCCCTTCCTTTCTTTCTCTCTCCTTTCCCTTCCCTTCTCTCTAAAAATAAGTAAATAGAATCTGTAAAAACAGAATTCTCTCTTTATCTCTAACCTTTGGTATTTTGATTATGGTGTGTCTTGGAGGGGGCCCCTTTGCATCCGTCTCGTTTGGGACTCTCTGTGCTTCCTGGACGGGCATGTCTGTTTCCCTCACCAAGTGAGGGAAGTTTCCTTTCGTTATTTTTTCAAAGACATTTCCAATTTCTTGCTCTTTCTCTTCTCCTTCTGGCACCCCTATGATTCAAAGTTGTGCTAGAGGCTGTTTACGCTGTCCTCTTTCTTTTGGAGTCTATTTTCTCCTTGCTCTGATTGGTTGTTTTTTGCTTCCTGATGTTCCCAATCATTGACTCGATTCTCGGTTTCACCCACCGTGCTGTCATTTCCCTGCACACTGTTCTTTATTTCAGTTAGTGCATCCCTCATTCTGACCGGGTCTTCCTTATGCTGCTGAGGTCCTCACTGAGCTCCCTGAACATCCCGATAGCCAGTGTTTTGAACTCTGCCTCTGACAGGTTGGTTATTTCCCTTTTGTCTTAGTCCTTTTTCTGGAGTTTTGCTCTGTTCTTTCATTTGGGCCATGTTCTTTGTCTCCTCATTTTGGCAGCCTCTCTATGTTTGTTTCTACGTATTAGGTACAGTTGCTGTGACTCTATGTCTTGGTAGCGTGGCCTAATGTAGTAGGTACCCTGTAGGGTCCAGTGGCACAGCCTCCCCTATCCCCCAAGCTGGATACTTGAGGTGCACCCTTCATGTGGGCTTAGTACACCCTCCTGTTGTAGTTGAGCCTTAATTGCTGTTGTCAGGTTAATGGGAGGGATTTACCCAGGCCGGTCAGCTGCAAGGACTGGCTGTGACCACAGAGCACCAACCTCCGCCCTCCGTGGAGTATCAGCTGTGCGGGGGCAGGTGGTGGTGCTCTGACATGGTCTGTAGCTGTCCACTGGGTGCGCGGGCCCTGGGGTTTCCCCGGTGGTGCAGGCCAAGGTCAGCCCCCAACCTGTGTTCTGCCCAGGGCTTGCCTTCCTGAGCTATAAAGCAATCTGAGACGGCTGCTACTGGTGCTGGGCTTGGGGATTCCCAGGCAAAGCCAAGCTGTGAATCTGGGCTGGCTGCTGCCCGTGCTGGGCCCGGGGCTCACCGAGGCTAGCTGACTGGGAAGTTGTTTGTCTGAGAGGATTTAGGAAGTTGTGCAGCAGGAGCAGAGACCAGCCATTCACATGGAAGAGCAGCTAGTGTGGGCCCATAAGCTGGGTGGGGCCGAGTCTCTGGGGATCTCCAGGGTGGGGCAAGCAGTGTTAGCCAGGTTGATGGAGTCTCAGATATGGCACCAGCCTGCTGGCTCTGTGGGGGAAGGTTTAGAAAAGGGGGAATGGCCTCTGCCCGCCTTGACGCCAGACACGTCAGTGTCTCCCTGTACGCCACTGCTGCCTTTCAAGCTGCCGCCCCCGTGCTGGAGCTCAGAGGGAGTGTGCCTGAGGAGGTGAGTCTGTGTGTGGGCTCTTTAAGAGGAACTGCCTGGGGCTCCAGCTGTTTCTTCCGCTGGCTCAATTCCCTCTGGTTTTCGCAGCCAGAAGCTGTGAGGCCTCATCTCCCTGGCACTGGAGCCCTGGGCTGGGGCTCCTTGTGTGGGGCTCGGACTCCTCACTCCCGAGATGTCCCTCCCGAACTTTTATCCACCACGCATGGACGTGGGACCAGCCATTCTGCATCTGCGCGCCCCCACCCCCCGCACCTGTCTGGATGGATGCGGTTTCTTTAATTCCATGGTGGTCAGACTTGCAACCAACTTGATTTCTGACGGCTCTGAGCGATGGTTGCTGTACATTTTCGTTGCAGGTTTGATGTGGTTGTGGAGAGCGGCGAGCCCTGTCTGCCTACGCTGCCATCCTGGCCGGAAGAGATGTGTTCTTTTCCCGTGTTGCTTTGGTGGATACTGTTACCGGCAGAGTTTCTCCCTGAGCCTTGGAGCAGAGTTCCAAGGCCAGACTGTCTGTCCCAAGGCTCACAGGACCACACCGCACCTCGCTCTCCACTGGCCAGCGGCCGGTCACTGCGGCCCGCTAGCAGCCAGACTCGGCACCCGGAGGGGCACACACGCTCACCCCACATCTGCCACACTGGCCCCGTGACGGAAGGATCGGGCGGTGATCCCTGAGTAAGAACGTGCGAGTTGCAGCGCGGCGTGGCCGGGACATCAAAAGGTCTCCTGGGGCCCTAATCGGGGACCGAGAGAGAACACACTCACTCGGTGCCGTGCCGAGCGGAGGAGCCGCCACAGGGCCCAGGGCAGCGCCCAGAGGGGGGTCTGAGGGAGGAGGCAGGGTGCGGAGCACTCACTGAGTCAGGAAAGAGAAGGCAAGACGGGAGAAGCGACAAGTCCCTGAAGGACATTACCCGATCTGAACAAAGACTTGCGTCTGTAGGTCGATAGGACTTGCTGGGCCCCAGGCAGATGACTTCAAAAGGAGGTACGTGCCTACAAAGTCCGCATGAAAAGTCCGACTTCCAGTGATGTGGGGAACCCCACGCTGTGCTGGAGGTTACCTTCCCCCGGCGGGGGAGCGCCGCCCTGCTGGCCACGGGCGGGTATCTCCTCTTCTGGGTAGACGCAGCGTTTTCTCCGGATCTCTTCTCAGAAGAAACCCTGTCAGCTCAGGTTGGCCCAAGAATGCAATGACGTCTTTTACCGTCTGAGACGAGTTTTCTGGCCTGCATTGCTCAGGATGTGCGTCACACCCCACCAAGAGCTTAGGAGCAGCCCCCGCCAGGTGGCTGCACGTTGTGAGGGCCCACCCACTGGGACGCACGCAAGTGGGCCCCCAGTCCAGCGCTGAGCCCGTGTTTGATTGGTTTCGGGGGACCCCAAACGCTCCTTCTGGGGTTTAGATAAGGTGTCTGGACACCCGCTGGTAGGACATTTAAGAGATCAAGTGCCACCTCCTTGAAACTCCATAGCTGGCAAATTTGTAAGGTCAGCTAAGGTGTCGATTAAAGTCTATAATTTGCATAAATGCATTTAAATAGATACTTTGTCTTAGAAGGACTGAGTTTGGTAATGTTTTTTTACTTAAAAAGGCATTTTTAGAAACACAAACTTAAGTTATTCAATCGAATTCTAAAACCTTTGTTTAAAAGGAAATAGTACTCTCTGGCAAGAATAGAATTAAAACCTTTTTATCAGTAGCAATGTGAAATCAACCAAGTTATAAGTAAACGTTAAAGTAGCGTTCCTCTTCTGCACGGCTTGACTGAGACGAGACACACGGCTCGCCCGGCGCACCCGCGCCGGGTAAAGAAGGGGCGGTGTCTGCTGCACCCACAGGGCTCCGCCAGCCTCACGGGGATCCAGTTTTAGCGCGCTCCTTTCCATCACGCCTACCGAGCAGAAACCCCATACGCGGCACCAGCCCCTCCCTCCTGCCCTGCGGGCTGCCCCCGTCCCTGGTGATACTGTCCGCTCCCGTGGTTTCAGCTGACAGCCCAAACCCTCAGCCGAGCTCAGGTGGCTCCACTCTCCTGGCCCCACGCGGACCCAGGCCATCCCTGGGACTCCTTCCTGACCCGCGGGGGGTGGGGGGCACGGGGTGGGGGTGGCTGCCCGCCTGCTGGGCCGGTCACGAGGCCGCGCAGGTTCGCCAGGGACCCAGACACCTGCCTCGGGGCAGCCAGCCGGGAGGACGGGCGCTGGCCACCTTGGGCGCCCACCACCCTGACGCTGACGGACGTGGACGTGCGGGCGGAGAAGCCCCTCAGACGCTGGGCCCGAGAGGCCTGGCTGCCATCTGAGCGCCGGCGCCCCGTGACCCCGAGGGACAACGGCCCCGCTGAGCCCTGAGAGACCGAGGTTGCCCTGTCAGGCTACTGGCTCCGGGGTGCTCCGGGGGGCCGTGTCAGCACCGAGACCCTGCCCGACCGAACCCGGCGGGCTGGCCTCCCTGCCGGCACCCCCCCCCCCCACACTGGCGCGGAGCAGCCTCTCCTCCTGCCCCCGCGCTGGGCACTCCAGCCCGCACTCCGAACCTCCCTGCTCTCGCTCTCCGGCCTCAGACACTCAGGCCAGCTGCTCTCCCGCCCCGACCCCTCCGGCCCTGACACCTGTCTTCTCCCCCGACCACCCGCAGACCCCCCCCCGCCCCTCCCTCTAAATAAGGAGGAAGCGTCATCACTGTTTCCTCGATCACCAGCCCCTCCTCCCTGCACCCCCCGCCAGGCCCCTGAATGCCCCTGCCACACTCTCTGTTGACAGGCCCGCTGGGGTCCATGAACTTGACCCAGAGTGCCTAGGTGAAGGGTGGGAGGTGAGAGGCAGAATCGCTCCTCTGCAGAGCCCAGGACGTGCCCGGCACGCGGCCAATAATACATCAGCCAGTAAGTGTTACTTATGAACAAACTGTGCAGAAATAAACAAGGGAGAACCATGTTCCGAGAGAACAGACATGCAGCTCGTCCGGATCTCGGCACGCAGCCCCGGCCCTCAGACCCACAGCAGGCCCGGGGGACCCGACGTGGGGGCCTCCACTCCGTGTGGGGTGGGGGCCCCGCGTGGTCAGACAGGGGCAGAGTTGGCTTCCCAGGCTGCTCCTGAGTTGGAAGCGGCTTAAAACCAGGGAAGCTTCGGTCACTGACCCAGCGCTGGCCGTCCGGGCGGGGGCTGTGGCTGGCTCGCCGGCTGCGTGTGGGCCAGGCCTGCTGCCGTGCGTGGGCGGACATGGTCCGCTGTGCATTCGGTCTCCTGGGCGGGATGATGAAAGACACCCCGGTGGGGCGGAAGGCGGGGACAGGACCAGGAAGGGGGAGCTGGGAGGTGCCTGTGTGACCGCCCGCACTTGGGGCTGCAGACCGGCCCGGCTGGCCTCACCTCCGCGCACACAAGCAGGTGGGACCCGAGGACGGAGGTAGGGCCGCTGTTGCCGGGGCAGGGGCAGGGGCACCCGGCCTCACACTGTCACCTGCACGGTGTGTCTTTCTGTGGGTAAGTCCGCCGGCGGCGACACCTTTACTGCAGATGCCAGCAGCTAAGCAAGACTTGCTCCCCCTGTCAGAGCCCAGGGCACCCAAGGGGGCGGGAGGGGCTGGTGCCCCCAACGTGGCCGCTGTGGTTTGGGCACCTGTGTGCCCGAGTTTGGCACCTTAGCTTTTACTTGGCAGATCGTGATGGTGAGGAACCACACCTCACACTGATGTCGGAAGGAAAAACTGGGGAAAGGCATCTGATCTGAGAGATTTATAAACAAATAGAAAAGCGTCTCCACACGTAGAAGAATATTCCAAAGTAATCAGGGGCCGTGACTGGGCAATAGTTCAAGTTCAGAAGCACCTGCACCTCCAGGGCCCAGTGAGAAGGCCTTGTGACTTTTTTTTATTGTGGCAAAATACGCATAGTATAAAATTTACCACCTTGACCGCGTTTAAGTGCACAGCTCGGTGGCATTCGGCGCACTCGCACACCGCTGGGCAGCCACCTCCACCGCCTCTCCAGACCTTCCTCAGCTCCCAACAGCCGGAGCTCTGTCCCCGCTGAGCGCTAACTCCCCCTCCCCCACCCCAGCCCCTGGTGACCGCCGCCCACTCCATGTCTCCATGTCTCCGTGGGTTTGACCGCTTTGGTCCCCCCAGGACGTGTCCTTCTGTGGCTGGCTCGTTTCCTCCGGCACAGTGTCCCCAGATCCGTCCACACGGTAAGACGTGAGTCAGAATTCCCTTCCCTTTTAAGGTGAGTGAGGCTCCATCGTGGGCACTGACCGCATGTTGCTGACCCACCTGTCCTCGGACACTTGGGTGGCTGCGCCCTTGGCTGCTGCAAAGGACACGGTGGGCTGCGGCCTCCGTCAGCCGCGCTGCCCGCGTGGGCTCAGCATGTGCCCGGCTGTGCGGGCCGGCTGACAGGCACGTGCTGCCCTGTGTGCGGCCAGGCCTGGGACTCTCTCAACGGCCGTGACAAGGGTTGAGCCCAGAAAACACGAATCCCGGGTAAAGCACAGGAAGAACAGTGCAAGCACGACCCTTACAAACACCCCCGCTGTGGTCCTCGCCGTGGCCCCAGGAGCCCCTCCACCCGGCTTCACCGCCTGGGAGGGAACTGGGTCCCAGAAGGGCTCTCCCCGAGCCCCCGTGGGGTCAAGCCCCGGTCGGACCCGAGGCCCCTAAGTCACATCCCGGGCTCAGCCCCGGGCGGCGCTGACAAGGCGGGCCAGAAGGGCCACTGCGAGGAGAGAGGAGCCAGGGCGACGGAGACGGTGGTGGCTCGGCCCCGAGGGCAGAGCGGGAGGCGGACGTGGGGCTCGTGCTGCGGGCGGGGGACCCTCGGAGGGAGCCCCGCGCAGCCCAGGGGCCGCGCAGCCCAGCCCGGCGGGACCCGGCACGGCCGGCGCCCGAGCACACGCTGCGCCGAGGAGCTTTGCAGGAAGCGCCAGGCCTGTCCCCCGGGGCTCCGGCCGGCTGGGGCGTGAAGGCTGACGGGCACAGGGGGCTCTGAGGGGGACAGAATGTTCTGGAACCAGGCAGAGGCGGGGCGTGCACGGCGTGGTGAGTGTGTTCAATGCCGCTGATTCGTTCACTTCCAGGTGGTCATTTGTTTTCCTTTTTTTTCAAATGGCAAGTTTTGTGTTATGTGGATGTCGCCTCAATTTAAAGAAATAAAGAGCTGGGGGTCAGGTGGAGGCCAGAACACCAGCTCCGTGGACAGCGAGGCAAACACCTGCGTCTGAGCTGGCTGGCAGCTCAGGCCTGGGGCTGAGGGCAGGTCTAGACCGGGGCACCCTGGGGGCTCCCACGCCCACCTCCCCTGACGGCCGGCGAGGTGGGGCCAGGCCCAACCGTGTGGCCTGGTCAAGGGCAGGGTAGGGAGTCCGCCAGGAGGGAGGCCTCCCACGCAGACACCTGCAGGAGACTCGAGGCCGCCCTCCAGTGGCCAACACGCTCTTGCTTCTGCTAATAAGGGTTCGGTCATCCCAGGAGAAAGAAAGGGCTGAGAAAAACCCATTCCACTCGCTGACAAAAAGAAATTTGCGATCGAGCCATGAAGATACCCAGAGGGACCCTAAGTTCGTCTGTGAGGGGAGCCCATCTGACAAGGCCACACCCTGTAATTCCCGACCCCAGGACGGGCCGAGCCGGCAGAGCTCTGGGGACAGAAGGGAGATGGGTGTCTGCCCGGGGAGGGCAGGGAGCAGGCACGGAGGGCGTTCAGGGCGGCGAAGCTACTCTGTGTGACGCTGTAATGACACCTGCCTGTCGTGCATTCATTCCTGCACACCCACGGATGCTGGGCACAGAGTGACTCATGTCAGCTACAGACAGGGAGTGACCGCACCGGGTCCCTGTCGGATCATCAACAGTGACAAGTGCACTGTGGCATCATGAGGTGTTACTAGTAGGGGAAACTGAGGCAGGAGGAAGGGGGGGTACATGGAACCTCTCCGTGCTTTCCGCACAATTTTTCTGTAAACCTAACACTGCTCTAGAAAATAATGCCTAATAATTTTATTTTTATCCTTTAAAGATTTTATTTATTTGTGTTTAGAGAGAGGGAAAGGGAGGGAGAAAGAGAGGGAGAGAAACATCAGTGTGTGGTTGCCTCTCATGTGCCTCCCACTGGGGACCCAGCCCCCAACCCAGGCCTGTGCCCTGACTGGGAATCAAACCGGGGACCCTTTGGTTCTCAGGCCAGCACTCAGTTCACGGAGCCACGCCAGCCAGGGCACGTCTATTAATTTTAAAAACACCAACTTAGCAAGAGAAAGATTGGGAGGAGGAGGGGAAGGTTGTGGGTGCCCATGGAGGGCGCCTTGGGGGCGGAGGTGGCCTTGGACGCGGGGACACGTCCCAACCACCTGGGCATCCACAGGCCTGCTGGCTTGATGGCGCCGGCCGGACGCCTGCTGCTGCTGCTGCTGCTGCTCCGCATGCGGGCCGTGCCCTCCGCGGTGCTGCACAAGGTGAGCCCCACCCCCGAGTGGGTCCCCGCACCGGGGAGCCCCCAGCCCTGGGCCCGCTCTCAGGGCTCCCGGGCTGCCGGCGGGCCTCCTTCCGGCCGGCCCCGCTCCCGCGTGCTCCCTTGACGCCCCGCCCCGCCGCCCTGGGCCGCCCCTCGGCAGGCCCAGCCCCCCTCTGTCCTCCTGCGTCCCGCCCCGAGGCTGGCTCCTGGCCTGGCCTCGGAGCACCGACAGGGGGAGCCCACACCCACCGCAGTTCCTTGGGGCCCAGTGATTTTTCGAATTGATGAAGGAGTTTCCGGGACCACGGTTTGAGAACGGCAGCTGGAGGCCACGCGGACGACCGTGGCTTCTGCGTGGGAGGCCTGGGGGCCGAGGGCAGCTCCTTCCTGGCCCTGCGCCCAGGGCAGGCGGCTCCCCCTCTCTGAGCCTTGGCGTCTCACCTGCCAGAAGGTGGTGAGCGCGTGGGCGGCGCGGGCCCTGGCTGCTGGAAGCTTCTGTTGTAGCACATGCCCCCCCCCTGCCCCGCCCTGCTGCTGGGCCATTCACTAGCCTCCCCCACCTCCGTGCCTCAGTTTACCCTCTGTCCGCGTGGCTCAAGACTGACACAGCCAACTGTTGGCTCCCTTCCCCCACTGTCCACTGGCCCCCTGGCCGTCCACCCTCCCTGGCCTGTGAGTGAGTCGCCAGGGGCACGGCCTTGGAAGGCTGGTGGGACCCGGGGAAGCGGGCAGCGGGAGGGGCCCCTCGGGTTCTGCAGCTGCCCCCGGGAGCAGGTGCACGGCCCTGGCTTTGCAGGGCATCGGGGAGCCCTGCGAGGAGCACAGGGAATGCCAGAGCACCTGCTGCACCACCAGCACCCTGAGCCCGCAGAAGTACTGCGCGTCCCTGACCGTCTTCCGGAAGTGCTTGTCCTGGCAGAAGGTGCGTCTTCGCCCTCTGGGGGGCGGCGGGGGAAGGGGCGCCGGCGCGTGGGAGGCCCCCAGGCGCACGGAGGCTGGGCCTTCCCGCAGCCCGAGGGCTACCCGTGCTCCGACCACAACCAGTGCCGCAGCAGCTGCTGCGTCACCAACAACCACAACCCGCTCCGCTTCTGCACGCCCCGCACCGTCTTCTTGCAGTGCCTGTCCTGGCGCAAGGTGAGGGCGCGGGGGCGTGGGGAGGCTGGCCGTGGGTGACACCCGCGGGGCTCCAGGCTCCCGCAACACCTGGGGCACCTGTGTCCCGCGTCCCCCCAGCCCAACCGGGACTACTGCTCGGAGCACAGGGAGTGCCACAGCCAGTGCTGCCTCAGCCTGACCGAGGCCGCGCCCGCGCGCTGCAGGCCCCGCACCGGGGTCCTGGCCCAGTGCCTGCCACCGGTGAGTGCTGGGCGGGCCCGCAGCGTGGAGGGCGGGCCCCGCAGCGGGCCCCGCAGCTGGGCGGGGTGGACGAGGCGCCAGAAGGGCTCCGTGAGGTTCCAGGTCCGTCAGGGACCCAGTGGACACGATGCTGATGCATCTGGTGAGGGGCAGGGGCCCTCCGGGGCCAGGCAGCACCTGGGGACAGGTGATAGGGGGCTGCCACCACCCCAGGGCTGGAGGCCTGAGAGAGGACCCTCCCCAGGAGCTGCGTCTCCTTCCGCCTCCCACGTCCCTCTGGAGCCCTCCACTGGCTGAACCTCATTGGGGCGGCGGCACACAGAGGTGAGGGCGGATGGAGGAGGAGATGGGGCACAGGGACCCGAGGCCGGCTGCCCAGCGAGGCAGTGCGCTGTGGGTGTGTCAGCACCGGTTCTGCTGGGGCAGCCCATTGCGTCCGCCTGACTCTCCGGGGGGCTCGGCCCCCAGCGCTCACGACCTGCCTGGTGCCATCAGCACGCAGAAAGGGTTAAACTGCGGCCCAGCGAACCAGACGGTCCCACTGATGTCCTTGACCAGGCGAACTGAGCCCAGCAGGGGGCGGCGCTCCCGAGATGCCCCGTCCCGAGGGCTGACTCCCCTCTGCTCCCCCGCGCGGGCGCGCTGTCCCTCGGCTCGCTCTGATTCCTGCTCTTTCCTCTAGTGACGCGGCGGGCGGCGACCTGTGCGCTGGAGGACCAGCCGGGACCTCGCCCCTCTGCCTCCCGCCACCTCTGAGTGAGTGGGTGGGAGCTGGCCCCAGCCACGCTGCTTGTTCTGGGTCTTCACGACTCAGCCTCAATAAAAGACAGATCGAGGGAAAGTGTGTTTTGTCACGTTAATGTTTTTAGACAATGAAGGCAAAGAGAAATCTGTAGCAAATGTAGAGACGGAGAAAAAGCACAGCACACACAGGTCTCGTGCAGGAGTGGTTCCCAAGAAGCCGCTGACCCAGGGGCAGGCGTGGCCTGGCAAAGAGAGGCCACACGTCCCCCCACCCACCCGGCTCCCCCCTCAGGCATTTCTGTAATGGAGGCACGTCAGCGTCTCTTGTCACGGCAGGTAAAAATGACCAGCCGGTCGTTTGAGACCGAAGCAGCCCCCTGATCGCCACTGACGACTTCGGACAGTGGGGCTGCCCCAGGCCGAACCCCCATCCCTGGAGGGCAGTGTCCTGGCCACGCCTGCAGCAGGACCCTCGTGGCGGAGTCTCCTGGGCAGGTGGACCTCTGCGGATCCGCCCGGAGAAGCCCCCTGGAGGGCAGACCCCGGGAGGCGGCTAGGCGCGGGAGGGGTGCGGGGTGGCGCGCACACTGCCCGCGGCGGCTCCCCGGGGGTTCTCGTCTGCTCGCTCCGCAGGACTCCACCGCACTCGGCCTACGGTGTGCCTGGCGTGAAACCGGTTCCTCCTTCCTTTTTTTTAAAATTATTTTTTAATTTTATTTTAATTGTTGTTCAAATACAGTTTTCTGCCTTTTACCCCCATCCCAGCCCACTCCCAGCCTTTTTTTAAAATAAAGGTTTTATTTATTTACTTTTAGAGAGGGGGGAAGGGAAGGAGAAAGAGAGGGAGAGAAACATCAGTGTGTGGCTGCCTCTCACAAGCCCCCTACTGGGGACCTGGCCCCCAACCCAGGCATGTGCCCTGACTGGGAATTGAACCCGCCACCCTTTGGTTCACAGGCGGGCACTCAATCCACTGAGCCACACCAGCCAGGGCTGGTTCTTTCTTCCTTTGCAGATAAGGGTCAACTTGGGACCCACTTCTGATAACAAGATTTTTGTAGAGGGTGTTGGGGGTACTTTTGTGGAAGATGGGGGTCCTCCTCTTCGTCCTGGAACTCAGCAGTGATGGCAGAGCGCAGCAGCCACCTTGGGTCCCTGAGGAAACATCGGGTGCCTGGAAGTGTGAGCTAAGGGTGGAGGAGCAAGAACAGATGGAGCTGGGGCTTAGCGAGCCAGGCAGGTGAGAACTCTTACCCTGAGTCCGGGGTGGACCTGGAGCCTGACTTAAACCACCACCTTCACGTCCAGCCTCCTTCCTGACTGGCATCACCCCAATACAGGTATGTACCAGGTTTCTTTTCTATTTGGACCAGGTTTCCTGTCTTAGAGAGCTTGCACGCAGAGGCCGCAGTACGTAAAAAAACCCCCACAGCGCTGGAGTCCACTGGAGAGGTGGTCTCGGCTGGTGCCGTACAGAAACAAGAGTGCTCACGCGCCTCAGCTCAGAACGTCCCAGAACAGCAGAGTGGAAGCCGGGCCTTCACAGCGTCCGCACAGCATGGCAGCTGTGTCTTGGCCCAGCTCCTCTGCACAGTGCCTGCATCAGGAAGCAGCTCGGGTGGGGCAGCCAGAGGGGAAATCAAGGCAGGGCTCCCGCCATCACACTCGAACAAGGAACTTAACACCGGAGTCCGGAAGCGAAAGGAAAACACGTGTCACCAGTTAACTCAGCGGGTCCTCGCCCAGCCTGATGGGACGGCCAGGTGTCCCGAGAGTCACAAGCAAAAGGGCGTGGCAGGCGGGGGAGTCCTAGAGCCGGAGCTGGGAAAGGGGCCTCCGGAACAGTTTCACCACGACAGAGTCCTTCTGAGAAACAAGGTCTCTGTAGCTGTGCGTTATCCCCAAGGGAAAGGAGGGGAGCCCAGAAGCCAGCTGAGGTATGTAACCCACGAACCCCAAGAGTCTGCGTCCTTCGTCCTTCGATTAGCTAAGTACCCACTTGTAGCCGTGGCTCGAGCGTGCAGAACAAAGTAACAAACTTCACTTTCTTTCCTCTCTACGCCGGGCACTTAGACTAGCCCGGCAGCGGCTTGCAGCTCCGTGCTCATGTGTGTTTTGTCAAGAAATGCGCTATCTCGTTTCCACCACATGCGTTTGTCTCTCGCTTGCGTTATTCTCTTGCGAGCGAGAAAAGAGCGGAGGCAGGGGAGGCCTCCCGACCTGGGCCTGTCTCTCCCGGATCCCCCCCCGCCCCGGACCCTCCCATCTCAGGGCCTCTGCAGGGGCCTCCCCTCTGCCGCGCGCTGCCTCAGTGCACCAGCTCCCCCCGCCGCCAAGTCTTGATCAAATTTCACTTTCTCAGCGAGACTTCCCTGGCTACACAGAAACGCCCCGACCTTCTTGTATTCTCGGGCACTGGGCCTTCTGAGGCACCGTACAGTTTACTTGTTCGATCGCGCCTCGATGATGATCGTGGGACGCGGGCCGCAGGTGGAAGTTGCTCTGCGCCCGCAGCGCCCGCAGCGCCCGCAGCGCCCAGGGCTCCCAGGGCGCAGAAGGAAAGTTTCAGGGAAGAATGAAGACGCCCGCTCGGCCGGGTGCGATCCCCAGGTCGGCCGCCAGGTGGAGACACGGGCCTCGGCGCGTCCCGGAGGCCCCGGGTAACCCCAGGTGCTGCCGCGACGGGGTGGAGGCCCGTCAGCCGGTCCTCTGCAGGCCCTGCCATTTCCCCTTTTCGGCAGAAAACAGCCGTTTGCGCACTGGCTGCTGCTAACCGGGACTGAGAACGCGCACTCGAGGAATTTCGGGAAGACATGTATCATCACTTCAGAGCCTCAGTCTGGTCTCTGGCCCCTGGGCCGCCGTGTCCTTCGGGCAGAGAGGCACCACATGCAGCCTTGTCCCCGCTCCATTTTAGCTTTCCCCCCCCGAAACGTCCTGAGGCTCTGACCTTTGAGAAGTTTCACCTCGCTGTCTGTAGTTTTACCTTTTAATAGAATTTATGAATTTAAAAAAATTTTAGAGAGAGGGGGAGAGGAAGAGAAACATCAATGTGTGGTTGCCTCTCTTGCGCCCCCTACTGGGGACCCACTGGTAACCCAGGCCTGTGCCCTGACTGGGAATCAAACCAGCAACCTTTTGGTTTGCAGGCCTGCGCTCAGTCCACTGAGCTACACCAGCCAGGGCTTGTACCTTTTGTATGTTACATCTTTTAGCTTTTATTCTAAGTTTAAAAAAGATTTTATTTTTAGAGATGGGTAGGAAGGGAGAGGAACATCGATGGGTGAGAGATACATAGATCCGTTGCCTCTTGCACGCCCCCTACAGGGGACCTGGCCTGCACCCCAGGCACATGCCCCGATTGGGAATCAAACTGGTGACCTTTTGGTTCGCAGGCTGGCACTCAATCCACTGAGCCGCACCAGCTGGTCTAGCTGTCCCATTTTTTTGCTGGACAATCTTTTAATTTCAAAGACGCTTCCTGAGGTGGATGGTGTGTCTGTGGAGGCTGGTGCTGTGTTAAGTTGCAGTCACTGGTGTGACCACAGAGACAGCTCTCAGAGTGGGCGGTGCTGTGTTGGGGGACCTTGCCAGGGACACAGGCTGAAGGGCAGGCCGCCTCCCCTGTCCCTATGGTTCCAGGCAGAATGTGTCCTTTGGCTTGTAATGCAATTATTTCATTCCTTCCCGCGAGCCTCCGCAACTGCCAGTTGAATCTTGGTCAAGGGAAGACCCTGAATTGCATCCACCTCCAGCGACACCCATGGGGGGCCCTGCATCTATTCAGTGCCCTGCATTCTCTCTGGGAGGACTTGTGTCCCCCAAAAAGGTCACCTGGCTTTCATGGAGCTGGGACAGCAGGGCAAGGCCACCCTCTGCGGTGTGCTCCTTGGAGCTGACACCCAGAGCCACGGCCAGGGCTGAGTGGTGACGGGGCGGGGGGGGGGGGTGGATGGGAGGCGAGTGCAGCGGGGCCAGGGAGGGTGCCAGGCAAAGGCCAGTGGGAAGGGGCTCCAGCAGCAACAGCCCTGGAGGGCGTGGGCCACTGGGGACCAGAAACCACTTCCAGGACAAACTGTCACATAACACACTCGACCACGTTCTCATCCAAAATCGAGGCTGTATTTTTCTCCATCGACGGACACACGGACAGAATGGTTAAAATTACAGAGCCCACCCCAGACACGGCGCTGACATACAGGATGTGGCGGGACCCGTGGGTACGGATGTCAGGAGACAAAAGGGTGCTGAGGGGAGACACAGCAACGCTTGCGTGGTGACAAAAGCCAAAACCCAAAAGGACCCGGTGCAGGGTGCTGGCCAGCGGGGGCAGCACTGGGCAGATGCTGGCTGAGGCCGGCACACAGAAAGCAGACAGTTGTTTTTCTGTGATCTTCAGCGTTTTCACTTCTAAAGCACTGCCTGTCGGGGACGGTTTCTGAGGGTGCGGCACCATCAGCCACGTGGATGTGCCCACGAGGCCAAGGCTGAAGGCTGGAGCCCGAGGGCGGGGGGCGCTGCAGAATCGCCTCCCGGCAGCCCACGCACAGGTGAAGGGTCAAGTGCAGCTGTCAGCCTCCGGTGTCCTACCTGCACCCAGTGGGCTGCGCGGCCGCTTTAAACAAACAGACACAGCGATCTCGAGAAACTGCTTTTATAAAGTGTACCTAGATTAAGAATTTAATAACATCATATATTTATATTAATAGACTATTTACACTTGTTCCTCTTTACAAAAAAAAACTGGAAAAAGAAATGTTGCACTTCTGCATAATAAGGCAAAAACCACCTTTGTACAGTATCCTTTCAATACATATCTGCAGTGGGTCCCAAGTACCAAGGGAGGGCCGGGGCCGGGCCTGAGTGGGGGCCTCACAGTGCTGTGGACAGAACGACCGTTTTTCTCCATAAATAAGACAAGAAAGACCCCTGGGGCTCTGGAATGGGATCTGAGGCTGTTAAACTGCAAATTGGAACTAAAAGTCAGAAAACAAAACTTTCTTTAAATGTCTAA